TGATCTCAGGCAAGTAACACGGGGGACCTGATGTCACCCAGGTGAAGAGATACATAGAAGCTTTCTCCAGCAGAGAGCTGTACTTTCTTGAGGGCAGAGAATGAAGGCAAAGACATAGGAAGATTAGCCTCCTGCAACAGAGAGTACTAGTGTCTGGAGGGCAGATCAGTGTGCCGGGGTCCTGGCCAGGAAGACCCAGCACAAATGCTGGGTACCTACATTAGGCGTTCGTTCTGTGGCTGATGGTGAGACTCTTCTTTCTGGTGTGTTGGAGTTCAGTGGGCATCACCTAGACTTGGGCTGGGTGTAAACCTCCTTCCAGGCATCTTGGGGGAGGCAGAGGTGCTGTGGAAAGGTGCCACTGGGAATGCTATTGCTTCAGATATGCCCTGAAAGGACCCGTTAAAACCCAGGAAAATTCAAAGAAATGAGCAACAACCAAAAGAACTTCTGAAGACTTTGCCTTTCAGCGGTAGATTTTCATGTTATCTGAGCCCCCCCCCCCCGAGTTCAGACACATGGACTTCAGTGAGGATGTGGTGAGTCTTGGGTCACCTGGTCATGGAGACTACCCACAAGACAGGCAAAGATGCCCGTCCATGTGCCTTCCTCCATGAAACTGGCCTTTCCCTTCTTCTGATGGCTCTTTGATTCTTGTCACCGCAACCGGTGCTCAAAGTTGGGTCTGCACCCTGAGATGATGGAAGTGCAGCTAAATGAAGCTCTTTTTGGAACCAATGGGCCGCATCTTAAGCCTTCCTGAGAATTTAAGTGTAATTTAAGAAACTGGAAGAAATTATTGAGTCTCTGTCCTAATCCCCTGAGAGTTTCTGTACTCACTCGAGTGAGCAGCTTTAATCCTCTGTGGTACCTGCGACCTCTGGATGCGATTCTTAATTACCAGAATCTAATTTCCCCTTCATGGGCGCTACCTGAGTAGTGTCTGTCGCTCAAGTAAACTCATGTGAAAATAAAGTATTAAAATCAATAATTTGACTTTGAGGCGAGATGGAACAGAAAAATAACTTTCAGTTTGCTTGGTCCGCAGTTCCCAGGCAGCCAGTGTTTGTCTCTGCAGCTGTGGCTGGCTTGGGATTCATCCTATCTCGGAAGTGTTTACACCTGGGGTGGCACGCAGGCTGTCTGGCTATGTGTGCACTCCCTGGAGGTGTAGGGTTGAATGTAGCTTCTCTGGGGATGCGGTAGGTTGTATGTATGACTATACTTCATGGAAACAAAAGCAGCAACACTGGAAGTACCAATCTTTGAACACAATGCCCACCCATTCCCTGATCCAGGGAGAGCATTGGCTAGCTTTAAGGTTGGCCACTTGACCACAGCAGGTCCGATTAAGTTTCTATGCTTGCAATCCTTCTTTCTCCCAAAACATGTTTCAGAGCTCGCCTGAGTCCCACCCCTGTCTTCTGGTCACTTCCTTCTCTAGGGATCATAAGAGAGCTAAATTTATCACTTGTTCATTGTTATCATAAGCACCAATGCCACTATGCATTGTCATAGCTTCCCATGACGCCAGGAGATGCAGACTACAAAGCTGAGCACAGGAAGCTAATCCTGCCCCAGCAGTACAGTATGGTGCCTACCCTGCCTGGTCAGAAGGGAGTGGGGAGCCACAGCCACTTGCTGGCACCACCCAACATGGCACACATCCTCCAAGTTAATTGTCATAATAACCCTTCAGAGCAGCCATGGCGGCTTTTCCTATTTACAGAACAGGAAAGAAGCAGAGAGGTGAGTCACTTGCCAAGACATCTAGGTCTATGACAGTGGCCGTCAGGGTTTAAAACCCATACTGACAACTCTTCCTTTTCCCCCCATTACTTCCTCTACAGAGGCAGAGTTGACACAATATGCAGTTCCCACTGAAACTCCCCATCAAACACTTAGGCTGCTGGACAACATCACAGGCAAGCCAGATCTGTCCATCACCACCAGGCTGAATTCCTCCTCCTTGGACCACTGGCTGTGCTGCTTGTATGCCCTGTAGCATCGTTTCCGTACCCTGCTTAGTTATTGTCCTATAGATGAAGATAACTATATGAATGAAAGAGGAAGAAAATAGTAGGGATGCAGGAATGAGTACCGAAAGACAGCATCTTGAGACTTCATTTGAACAAAAGAAGAAATTCCATGTAGAATTCTCCACCTGGTGAAGGGGCAAGATCATTCTACATGTTTAAAGTTGAAATGTTTTAGTTATTTATTTGTGTGTGTATGGGTATGCAAACCATGGTCCATGTATAAAGTTGGAAGACAACTTACAAGATGTCAATTCTTTCCTTCAACTGTGTGGGTATGAGGGACTGAACACAGGTTAGTCAGTCTTGGCAGCAAACCCTTTTACCCACTGAGCCATCTCATTGAGCTCCATTCTTATAATTCTTGCATAAACATTTGGGTGGGAAGCACTGGACAATATAAAGGGAAATGGATGTGCATAGGTGACTCAGTTACCTACTTATCCTGGGTAACTCCTCCCCACCCCAGTTAGGGACAGCCTCAGCTTAGGACCCGACTGTGAGCCTCTGAGGGATAACTGCTTTGATCCTTATTTCCCAACTCCTTTCTTCTTGTTGTCCATGGCATGCCCTACTCTCAGGGGTGGATCTTAATAGAGATATACAGAATGTTCCCAGGATCTTGTTGCTGTCTCAAGGTAGGCATCAAGTTAGAAATATAACCGTGTGCCATATATCGTGTTACTCTACCCAGGTGTGGCGACTCATGCCTGTCATCTCAGCACTTGGGATGCTGAGGCAGAAAGATTGTCATGGATTTGAGAAAAGCCAGGACTCCCAAGAGAGAGAGAGAGAGAGAGAGAGAGAGAGAGAGAGAGAGAGAGAGAGAGAGAGAGACCCTGTCTCAAAACCACTGCTGCCGCCACTGCCACCGTAGCTGCCACCACCACCACCCTCCCCTATCAATCAGAAAGTGTGACCAAACTTGTGGATTATCATCTCTGTCACGTATGGGTGGATCTTTGTGAAACTGTCCTCGCTAGCACTGTCTTCACCGTGAGTCACGGATTCCTGTGATGATAGGAGCATAAGCAGCTAATCCTAATCAGGAGGGTTTGGTTGCTTGCTTTGCCTGACCAGAGGGGAGGGGGGGGAACTTCAGCCACGTGCACAGGACTGGTACCAGCCAGTCAATCAAAGGGCCCTTCAGAGCTGAGGCCACACTTCTATTATGCAAAGCTTTCACAAAAATGTGCTTGCCATTAACTTTCTGTCTGAGATTGTAGATATCCCTAAAATGCTCACGGCTATCAGGGCTGCCTCCCAACGCATTTCTCCTGCCAACTGGCAGTGCTAAAGATCCATAATGTGTCTTTTGCTAACCGGTAATATTTTTGATATTCACTATGTCTGAAAAGCAGTCATCTGGAACATTCTGCAGGGCAATTTCTAGTCTCAGCTCTTGATGAAGGGAGGAAGGTGCGTGGAAATCAAATTATAGGTTGATGAGAGAGCTCAGGAACTCTTCATATTTAGGCGCCAGCTGACTTTGGGTTCTGTATTCCCTGAGTGCCAGGAGCTCCTCATGGCTGACTTAGGGTTTTGTATTCCTTACCCACCTGACATTTTAGGTTCTCGAATTTAGGTCTCCTTTTTCTTTGGTCTAGGAACTCTTATGGCCTTCATGAAGACGGCACCTTCCCCATGTGTGGCACGGTCAGCAATCCTCGCTAGTGCTGTACTTTTGAGCTGATAGCCAGCGCTCCAAATATGGTGCTCTGAAAAACCAAGAAGCGAGGAAATTTCTCCCCATCGCCTCATCCCACATCTGCCATCCTCGGTGGTCTTTTTGCTCCATCCTTGCAAAGGATGCAGGGCCATATCCAACTGTTGAAAAGGCCCTGGATGAAGTGCTGTGTGGTGAGAAAATTCAGGCAATCGACTGGGATTCTTGACTGAGCAGATGCCCCTGATCACTGTCTAATTCTAGCATCTAATTCTTTCTCCTCAAGAATAAATAGATAATTTATTCATTTATTGCCTGTATATACGTGTGCCTCATGGCATGCGTGTGGAGGTCAGAGCACAGTCTGTGGTACCTGTTGTCTTGTTCCATCTTGTTTGACATGGGCATCAAACTCAGGCTGTCAGGCTTGTGCTTCTCTATGCTGACATCTTACTATCCCCGAACCCAGCTTTCTAACAGAGTCCTTCCTTCCACAGCCGCACTTGGCTCACATCTGCGCGCTGCCTTGTTCCTTGTTCCTCTTCTCATGACCCTGTCAGGGCTTCCTGCTTGCCCTAGCCTCAGTTCTGATGTGACTGGCTATCCACCTCTCTGTGTCTCCAGGTCTCACAGTAGTTCTGAAGCTATAGCTGTGGATGGTGAAGACTTTAAGAAACTCTTCTATAGGAGTGAAGTGTGTCTGTCACACCTAGGCAAGAAAGGCCCCTCTGAGGACACCTCTACCAGGCCATGAACACAAAGGGAAGCACCAGAGATGCACTCCGGGAGGGAGGAGGGTTCAGCATGTCTCCTGACAGGGCTCTCTGCCTCGTCTGCGCTGAGTGTGGTGGGAAGGCCAACTTCAAGACCTCTCTTGCTCTTGAATATGTTACCATTAGCACAAAATACTCTAGGATCTATTAGGCAGAGAGAAGGATGGGTAGTTATGAACATCTGTCATTCCGGTACTTGAAAGGTAAAGACAGGAGGGTTGGGGGTTCAAGACCATCCTCAACTACGTAGTGAGTTTAAGGGACGCCTAAGCTATACGAGACTATTTTAAAACATTAAGAAAAAAAATGAAGACAAAACATTAGAGAGAGATAGACACCAACAGAAGGCAAAAGAGGGAGGGACTTGGATTTTGTAGAAAGGTCGACTTTGGCTTCTTGTTATTGTATTGTCAACGTTCTTATATGTCCTCATCACCCTCAGCCTCCATGACGACACAAGGTATGGTGTCCAGACATGGTGGCACACACTTAGAATCCCAGCACTTGAGAGACTAGGCAGAAGGATGGTGAATTCAAAGCCAGCCTGGGCTCTGTAGTAGCTCAGGCTGGCCCAGAATACCCAATGAGATTCTGTCCCTTAGACATAAAATGCACTATATCCATATACATGTAGGAAATTGTGAAAGAAAATTTCCAATAAAAGTTATTTTAAAAAGAAAAACAGAAAGAAAGGCTTGGCTGGGACATCTCTTCTGAATCCCAAAGCGCCCCCTCTTTCTAACTTTCTAGGGTCCTGGGCAAGAGGCAAGGAAGCCAGGAGCGATTTGAGTCCGTCTCTCCTCCAAGGGGTGTGGCACTCAAAGGGAGAGGCCAGGGGCAGGTCAGTGAATATATACCAGCCTGGAGCTGACCAGGTTCCCTGGTAAGGAGGAGGTCTGCAGGGGGCTCTCCTACCATGTTGGGCTCAGCTCGCTCTGAGTATAGCTCACCTCAGCCTGGGGCACCCTGCACCGCTGAGCTAGTGCAAAGCATCATGCATGCAGTTTTTCCCTCCCTCCAGCACCCCCTACCCCGCCCCGCGAGGTTGGCGTTTCTCAAGTCTCCCAGCAAGCTATACATCATGAAATATTGATACAGTTCCACTAGACTGCTGCACCTGACATTTGATTTATAGCTTTAGGTGTTCTTTTTTAATTCTAAACAGTCAATGAAGGATCAAAGGAAATGTCATATTTGCAGTGTTCAAGCTTATAGTGGGGCGCTCTGAAGCCAGAGAAGGAGCTACCCCAGGTAACTTGGTGCCCTCCATGGGTGGGGCGTCCAGGGGCTCAGCCACTGCTGTAGGTGGAGACAGCACTCCTTCTATGCCCCAACATTTCAAATATTTATCACATTAAATATCAACCTCTAGAATATTGCCTTCGTTTAAGCTTTTCACATTCCAATGATTTTTTATTATTTCCATCGACCAAAATAAATGAAGAAAGTGTTTTAGACTACATTTGAAAGCATGTAAAAATCAATAACTGGATTTTAAAAGATTTAAAATGTCTTGAATACATTCATTTTCAAACATTTCCCCTCTGATCTTTAAATAGCTTTTCTTGGAGCATAACATTTTTTTTTTGAAAAGTCAAATATGGAGCATTAAGGGTATAATTACCATTTTAATTATAACTCAATCATCCTATCTGTTTTGCATAGAAATTAAAGCTTTTATGTCAGGATTTTGGGCACTCACAAATGTTCAGGAGCAATTAATGTTAAAAGTTGAATGTTTTTTTTTTTACACCGGGTATGAACTTGGCAAGTCTTCATTTCCTCCTCAGCTGGAAAACCAAGGACGCGTCTGCTTTTATTTGATTTCTAAGCTGGATTCATTTCCATTTTGAGTTTGTTCGTGTGTTCAAGACACACAGTGGTAGGACTGGGGAGATTTCACAGTGGACAAGAGTGCTTGCTGTACAAGCATGAAGACATGGGTTCAAATCCCAAGAGTTTGCGTTAAAGCTAGGTAAAGCTGTTCCACCAGTCACAGTAACCCTTGTTAAAAAATCAGTGCTGAGAGAGTGTTGGGAAAATAAGAGAACTGCTGGGACCTGAGGATTGTCAGCCTAACTCCGGGTTCAGTAAGAGGCCTTATATCTGCAGAATAAGGTCAAGAGAGAGAGAAGACAGCCAATATTTTCCCCTGCATGGGTGGGTGCCTGGCTAAATGACCACATTTACACATGCGCACATACACCAGCCATCCACACAAAATAAATAAATACATAAGAAAAAAGAGCACAGTGTCCCAAGCTCAGACACCAGGGTTAGAGTTTGAGTCCTGTCTTGACCCAGTTACAGCCTCGCTAGAGCTCAGTTTCCTCATCCATAAAGTAGGGTCATAGCAAGCCATGTCTTGTGTGACTGATGTAAGGCATGGCAAGTGGACCTGTGGAAGATGCCGGGCAGTGTTCGGCTCGGCTAGACATCTGGCCCTCACCTTGTGAGTTGTATGAAACCCCTATGGCTGTGGGATCTAAAATAGTCCCAGTTAGTCTGGCAGCTATCGATTTCCCTCCCACCCTGAGAGGACTGTTTACAACATGGCAGCACCTGTACCTTTGCATTCATTCAGGTGATGTGAAGCCGTTCCTACCGAATCCCGTGACAGTTATAAACCCTTGTACGTCTCACGGGCACATGGAATTGTAACCCTTTTCTTTTCGGTCCCCTAGTGTACATACAGGGGTGTCCAGTTGCCAGGGCTTGCTGCAAAAGTGTCCATTTTTGCATGAATGAAAATGCCATTTGGCCAAAACGCAAACTCGATTGTCATTGACTTTAGGCCCTGAAAATGAAATACGGAAATGATAGATTTTCCCATCATTCCCCTGCGGATGAATAATGTGCTTGTTCTGAAGCACAAGGTTGCAGTTTCGAGGGTGTGTGCCTGTGTATGCATGTGCACACTTGTGTGCAAAATGCAGCCTCACCATTTTTCTCCCAGTTAACCCCCAGTCTAAGATCTGGTCCATTTCCTCTTGAGCTGCTGCAGCTGCAGCTGGAAGGAAAAGTCATTTTTATGAGCATTGCCGTGGCAAGATAAAATAATTCCATTTTATAAAGGCTGTTGAATGGGCTCCTTCCCCCTCCCCAGCATTTTTTTTTGCTGACTACTTATTTCTGTTTTACTTTTTATTTTTGCCAATTTTTATGCTTCCAGTTTCTCTCCTTTGTGTTTAACATCTTCTTTTTCTACTCTATTAGGGAAAAATGACAATGGAGGCAGGCAGACATAATTTAAAGATAATTATTATATCACACCCTCTATACCTTGAGTCAGATAACGTTCCTGGGAGTTAATCACTAAATATCAGTTACACAATCAAGCATAATCCTAAACATAATTACATAATCACCAAGAACCTGATATGCATAGGCGATTGGCTTTGTAAGAGACTTTGTGGCCTGGATTTTTCCAGGACAGCGTGGATCTTATGAGTTTATTAATTTTGCTGAAGGAAAAGTGATTAACTCTCTCAGCACATGTAGCTTAGTTTTAATAGCTCTATGAAGTTTCCCCAGATTTCAGAACAGTATTAAGAAAAATCCCCTTTCCGAGGCACTGTCTCCTGGTTAGAGTTCCATACAAGAGAGTTCACAGTACCTTTAGATATATTTTGATTTTCTGTGTTGCTGGGTGTTTCTTTCTTTTTTTTAATTTTTTTTTGCTGGGTGTTTCCATCTGCCTTCATACCCAAAAGGCAGTACCCAGAGTTTTGTGCCTTTGGATTCGGTTTACGTCTATCAGTGGGGGCATGGCAGAGATGGGGGCTGAAGAAAGTGATTTGGTTTTCATCACCCACTCTGGCCTCGGGGGCATCATCTCCCAGTCAAAGGTCCAGCTAGAACAGGTTACCAGATCTTCAGCTGCCCCCACTGAGTTCTATCTCAGAGGCTGCAGGCTTCCTAGTCTGTTGGCTCCAGGTAAGTAGTCCCTCAGCACTAGCTTCCTTCAATATCCAGGGTGAGCATGTTAGGTTCCTGCAGGGTCCTGGTCCAAAATGTAGTAATTTTATCAGACTACCCTTTGTGAATGGATTTGAGATGTTTGTTATTATATATCTACTGCCCAGGTGGGCAATTTAAGATGATGGAAAATAATGTGTAATTCTGTTACATAAAAGGAAATGCATGTTATTTCCTGGTATGTATGAATGTTGTGGCTTACATGTGAAATGTCCTCTCCCGGTTCATGTGTTTGAACTCTTGGTCCCCAGTTGGTAGTGCTGCTTAGGAGGTTATGAAGCTCATAGGATGTAAAGCTTCACTGGAGGAAATGGGTTACTGATAGTGGGCCTTGAGGTTTGTTAGCCAGATACCACTTCCTGTCTACCCTCTGTTTTCTGACTATGAATGTAACGTGACCAGCTATTTCCAACTCTTGCCGATATGTCTTCTCCACCACGATAAACTGTATCTGGAACTATAAGCCAAAAATAAACCTTCCTCCATTAAGTTGCTGGACATTTGGTTATAGCAATAGGAAAAGTAATACAATGGGTTTAATGGTAGCAAAAGCAATCAAATGAAGCCGTCTATAGAGAGGAGCAAGGACAGGTCATAAATTCGGCCAGAAGAGAATATGATGAAGCCTAGGGTCCAAGTGGTATACTTCAGTCCTTCTCATTTGCTTCTGCATTTTCTTGCAGCCATGATATATATAAAAAATTTGTCTTTACACTTGAATACTGGTTGCTCCATGCACACCCCTTGCACTCAGGAAACACATCAGAAGAAGAGGAGGAAAGAACGTAAGAGCTGGAGAATTGGGAGGAGTGCCATGAAATGCTGTGTTCTGGACGTGACACAGATATCTCACTTATGAACACCTAGTAGCTGTAGTTATCCACAAAAGACCTGAGGACGATCAAGCCTGCCGGAATTTTTATAACCCTGCCCAAGAGCGAGGATCCTTTGACAGCTGATGATTGCTGGGTGGGGATTATTCTTTTTTGAGGATATATTTTGACAAAATTCTGCTTTAGCGAATGGTCCCACATTCATGCCATTACAGGCAACACTAACTAGATTTGGAGGGTTATGTAAAAAGGCAAGAGACACAAAGTTGGGAGGGAGATGTGTTGAGGTACATAGAAGGAAGTTGGATGGGGATTATGTTTTCTTGTAAATGTGTATGAAATTCTTGAGAATGAAGAAGAAATTTTACTGGGCTCAAGCTTTCAGGAATGTTGGAAAGTCAAACTCAAGAGTAACAAGAAGTACCAGATGTGTTCTCTGATTGGAGTGGGGCTTGGATTCATTGAATATTATTTACCCATTCATTTGTGAAATTACCAGCTCTTTGTATAACACCCCTCCCCCCATTATGCTGGGCTTGTGGCAGCAAATTCAGAAAGCAGGCTGCTTTGGTGAAATTCAAATTCTGCTGTCCCCTTAGAGTTAGTCTTCTCATTCATAAGTGGGGATGACAATGCTTGTTCATTCTACTCAGGAACGAGACGGAGACTGAGGGAGCTGATGTTGGAAAGGCCTTTCTGTGAACTCAAGAGTGTTGTCAAACGTAATTTGTCCTTGTCAGAAAGAATACCAAAGAGCGTGGGATTCTCTTGTTACCATGTCAGCGACAGACAGAAAA